TGATTATATGCTTTTTTCTTTATTCAAAACTTTGAACATGTTCATGAACTTTGAACCTAGGTTCATTAGGAACACTATATATAGAATAGGCTGTTGACAAATAGTATATAAGTGTTGGCATTGAGTTGGGTTACGAGATGAATGTTGGCTTTGGAATTGATTAATAGAAGAATAAATAGGAATATTAGGTGATTTAGAGGAGGAAGGTTAAACAATAGAGATAAATTTGGTATAATATTTTTTGCAGAAGCAAGTTACAGTAGCAGCAGTATGAGAAGCTTGGAAGAAGTGAATAGCTTTACCTGTACTATGTAGCTGAGTTGAGCATTTAGTAGGGGTGACACCTTTGTTTGTAGGTCTAGTACTGTTAGGTCCATAGATCCAAATACCAAAATAATTTGGATACTGGGATAAAAAGGCATCAAGATTGGTGATATCAGGTGGTTTGATACTAAGAGTAGGTATTTGAGCTGTTTTTAATTTAAATATTTAGATAAAGATAAATTAGGCGTCATAGAACAATAATAATAATGAATTGTTATAAAGGATGTAGAGAGCTTCGAAATGGTGTAAAATTTGTTTTGTGTAATATATATTACAAAAAGTAAAGATAGATTACACAGATCATGTGCAGGTTATGTGTTACACAAACATCACTTATAACCCAAGTATGCCCCATGAGACTTGGGTGACGTTGCTAAATTAAGAATAGAAAGAATACAAAGATATAAATAGTTAATTTGTATAATGAAACTTAAAAATTAGTGTAAATGGGAAGAACCACAAATGTTGGGGTATTTGAAAATGTGGGTGATGCAAGTTGGGGTTACACAGAAAATATCTAAATGGTTTTTGCCAAAATTTTTAAGAAAAAAATAAAAAAATAAAAAGAAGAATTGTAGAGAGTTAAAGCAGTAATTTGAATGTAGCTCCGTTAGTTTTAAAGCTTATAGCTTGTTATGATGGGAACTGTGAGCTCTTTAACTTTTTCTAAGCTTAAACAGTATGTTAAAAAGGCTGTTTGGTAGGTATTTTGAGTAAAATACAAAATTAAACCAAAAGGCCTTAACTTGATGAGTTTACAAGTTTTAGCAGTAATATTTAGATATTATATGTAACAAAAGAGAAGAAACAAGTTTACTTAAAAGACAAAACTATATTTGTATAGTAAAATAATGAGCAATAAAGTATTTTTGAAATAATTAAAGTGAGAATTTTTGTGTATGAGTGATAGTTGGGAAGAATTACTAATAAATGTCAGTTATTATAATATACATCTATTATGACACTTTTATGTAACTTTTTGACACAACCACAAGCTCTACATCTATAGTCAAGTTAGATGCATTAGAATTATAATTGTAAAAATTCTATTGCAGAACTCATCTGCTATTTTGATAACCACAATATATAGTTAAAATTGAGTTAATATCTCGAAATTAAGCACTATAAAATTTTGTTTAATAAGCACCTTCTAAGTTTAGTTGTATCAGATTTTTTACAAAGTCTACTTTCTGTTTCTAAATTATTCTCAAAGCAAGGTGATTCTAACAGCAGTAAATTATAAAAATTGGTCTGGTAGATTATTCGCAATTGCTTCTTAAAGTTCTAGTGACATTTTGGATTTTTTATAATTTGCAGATTATGTAAGTGAACTTTGAAGAGAAAATGTAAACATTCTACTGGATCAATTTTGACAAATTTACTACCATTAGAATCATCTTGGTCCAGAGAATAGCTTTAAACAAGAAGATAGATTTACTTAGTAAAAAATCCCTTTAATTAATTTTTAAAATTATATACGAAAATAAGCTTATAATAAAAAAAGATCAGAATGGCACAGTATGCATTGGAATTATCATTATTTCTATGTAGTTAACACTGAGTTAGTTTGTACATATTGGAGTTATTGTGGTTACTATAAAAAATTTACAGAACTTACTCGCTATTCTGTAATTTCAGTATGTAGTGTTAGTTTGTATTAGAATTAACATGTTAAGGTGAATATCTGGAACTATTACAATACTAAGGTACTATATTATTATATATGTGACTGTAAATGTCATAATTATGATGTAATTCTGGTAGTTCTATCTAATTTACATGCATAGATTATTAATTCATAGATCGATTGCAAATATATGATGACATTAATTTATAGGTCGATTACGAATATACAATAAAAAACGGTATAATCAAAAATATCGCAACAATTACAATCATACGGATGATCATGAGAATGTAATAATTATTCAACCACAGTTTTTAATAGTTCGAATAAATACATAATATATGTCAAGCACCATTGCTATTAAATAATTCACGGGTGACCATTCAAAAAACCCCATTGGAACGGTCTATCGACACAGCAAAAGCTGAATAATTAATTCATGTCATCATTTTAGCTATTGTGCTTCAATAAAGTTATTAGATCGGGTAAAATGAAATGTTAATTGCTATACTGATAAGAAAGATAAATCACGTATATGCTGTGTCGGTAGATCGTCTCGTTTGTAAAAATGGGTGACCCTGTGATTTCATGTTGATGATAGCAGAAAAATTTACGGAATTTTAATTCCCTATTGATCATAAGTTTCAATCAATAATGTCTATATTTTATTCGAAATCTTTAAAATTCTCCAAGAATCGATAGAATCGGCAAGATTTTACATGACATCATGATCTGCAGAGGTGACCTCTGAGATCATAAAGTCATGTAAATATCTCGCCGATTCTAATAGATTTTTCGATTATTAGAATTTTAAAGATTACAAATAAAATATAAGATGTTATTAATTGAAAATTATGATCAATAGGGAATTAAAATCTCGGAAAGTTTTCCGCTATCATCATCTCGAAATCACAGGGTCACATCTTTTCATAAGTTTGCAACGCTAGCTTTTACTTTGATTCAATTAATTTTCTAGAATCATGTAATAACTCTTATAATATTGAATTTGGCGCAACTTTAAATTTTCTTACTCATCATGACTAGTAAATTTTATCGGGCAAAAAAGAAATAAAATTTAATAATTCACAATTAAATTCTTTACTAAATAATGAATGTATAACTTATATTCCTATAAAAAGATACCAAATCAAATATTTCTGCAAAAATATATATATATATATATTTAAGAAATCGGAAATTAGAAATCATTAATCTCTTTTTTTGCTAACCGCAATAAATGGTTTTTTGGGGAGGTTCTGCCAAAAATGCATAAATTGAGATCTTAATAATTGAAGTAATGCTACAAAACGATCCGAGTAACTTAACAATAGTAGTAGTGTTACAAAACAATTCAGGCAGGACGTTATCAATGCCATAAACGGCATATAAGAGTAGATCACTATTGAAGAAGCATAAACCGCCTATTTAAACAAGATGTAAAATAAGATATTTGAATATTTATATCAAAATTGCATATGTTCAACAAAAAATTAAAATTTATTGACATACCATAATAATAATAAGTGGAATGTGCTTAAAAATAATTTCAAACAATACTCTAATTATAATAAACCATTTAATATATCGTTCAATTTTGTTATCATTATTTTCGTCATTATTATCGTAGTCGCTCTTCTGATTATTATCGCTCTTCGGATCATGAGTTTTGCTGTTAGTCTTCAAATCATTATAATTTTTTTTTACTTTTTTAGCATAATTGTCTACTATATTATCCAAAAATATTAATGATTCGCTATCAAATATTGCAAAAATGATGAATATTATATGTTCCATATCTACTTCCTTGTTGACATCATTATTTAATATATCATTCAGTGATTTAACAAGTTTATTTTTTTCTGCGGTTTTAATATCAAGTTTTTCATCCATTGTCTTATGAAATAGGTTTTTGATTTCATCAATTTCATAGGTTATTGTGAAATGATGATTTTGTATTTCTTTAGCAATCTTTTGTTCTTCAGGTTCTTGCGATTTGGAATTTTTTTCCGAAGAATCTTTCCCTTCATTAGAAGCTTCTTGCCCATTAGAAATTTCTAGTTTATCTTCATCTTCCACTTTATCAGATTCGTGAATTGTATTAAGAGTTTTGTAAAAATAATTTTCAATTTCTTCTTGAATCTTATTTGAAATTTCTTCTTGAATCGTATTAGAAATTTCTTCTTGAACCTTATTAGAAATTTCCTCTTTGATTTTTTTAGAAATTTCAGTAGAAAATTCAATAGAAATTTTAGTAGAAATTTCTTCCGCTTTATATTTATTAATTGAAGTCTTTTCTTTAATAATATCTTCAAATTCTTTAATGTTTCTAATTTTGGCTGGAAGTTTTTCTTGTAATTGGATAAAAAATTTTTCCAATAATATGTTTAAAAGTTCTTGAAGTAGTATAATGGCAATTTCAGTATGTATCTTCGCAAAAATTATACTTTTTATCTCAATAGAACTTATTTCTTTAACAAGATGTATTTCTATATTAAGTTGTAGCCCTTTAGTATCTTTAGTAAGTTGTGTTTTTATTTCCGTAGAAGTTTCTACAGAAAGTATATTATCCATGAAGGGAGTATAAGAACTTTTTTTAGATATTTGTTGAAAAATTTCGGATCTTTTGTCATTAAATCTGGATTGTATTTTCTTGGAAATTTCATTAACAGAATTATCATATAAATTGCCATCATTAAAACTGTTCTTTATTATTCTAGGAGCGTATTCTGGGATCTTCTCAAAAACTTTATTAATTATTTCATTCGTATCTTCGTTTGAAGAATCCTCTTCATCGGAGACAGGCTTCATATCAGAAATTTTTATTAAGTTTTTAACCGAAAATTGGTTGTGAATTTCGTCAGTATCTTCTTCGTCTTCATCATCGTTTTCTTCTTCTGAGCAGCAACAAAAATTTTTCGTAATTTTCTTCATTATGCCATCATAAATTCCCTTGAACTTTTCAACTAATTTGTTGATAATTTTCTTCATTCTGCCTTGCTTAGCTTCTTTGAGCTTTTTGTTTGCTTCATTGAGAATTTTTTCTATTTCACGACCAATTTTTTTGAATTTTTTATTAATAATTTCCTTTGCGTCACCACCAAATTCTTCGTTCATTTTCTTCTTTATGTTATCAAATTTTTCGATAATTTCCTTTGCGGCACCACCAAATTCTTCGTTCATTTTGTTTATGTTATTGAAGTTTGCGATTATTTCATCTATTTTCTTGATTATTTCCTCCTCTATGTCACTACCATATTTCTTTGTTTCGTCGATAATTTTAATCTTTATGTCATCATCAATTTCATTGATCATTTTATCTGTTTTATCGATAAGATTCTTCTTTATTTCATTACCAATTTTCTCGATTATTGTGTTCTTGTCTTTCTTAATACCATCAGATCCCTCGAAAATTTTATCAGTTTCATTGATAACTTTTTCCTGTGCGCCATCAATTCCTTCATTGATACTTCTATTATTTTCCTTTAAAATACTATTTGCTGCGTCATCAATATATTTACTGACAACTTCATCTATTTTATCGTTAATTTTTTCCTTTGCATCACCAACAATTCCCTCGATCATTTTCTCTGTCTGTTCTTTTGTTGGTATAGCAAGGTAGATAAAAACGGCGACAGCCGTGATTACATTTATGCCTATTTGAATGCTCCATATAATTATACTTTAAGGTGGTAAAAAAAATAACATAGTAAATAAAATTTTGATAATAATTAAAATATAAAAATTAAAATGAAAAATACCTTGGCAAAATAAGTTCCGGTTTTTCTTTAGTATTGATAAAAACAAAATAAGTCGTAAAAAAAAAATTGATGGCAATGATTGCATAACTTGTGTATATATGAACTATTTCAATAATCTGCCTATTGAAATCGAAACAGGTTCTGAATGAAAATATGTATAGAATCATGATTATTACAAGCCCGAAAATCGATACAGTAATTGAATATGTGTTATCGGCCCAAAAATCATCTAAAATACAGTATAAGAGTTATAGTTTTTTTTTTTAAAAAAAACACAACAAAAAATGTATTATCATTAAACTTACTCATTATAACAAAGCTATAAGAATTATCCAAATCATTTGTAATGCCAGTAGAAAAGGTTGTGACTCGCTTATATGAAAGCATAGTGATTAGATCCGCTACCACACTATCAACAGTGCTTTCATTTGAATCCGGTAACGGTAAATTTATTTTAATAGAAAAAATAATTTGTTGGCCGTAATTAATATACTGAAATTTTTCATCTGTGGTTAGACGTTCACGTCGAATAGGTACGTTCTTAGCAGTTTCATTTAACAATTTTGCAAAATAATTGGATCGATCCGATTTAGAGAATGATGTGAAATTTTTCATGGCTTCTGGTGTTAAGCCGACTGTACCAATGATGGTACTACCTATAAGAATGTAGATATGATAGTTTTTTAAGATGTATACTCATGTAGATCGATGAGAATATAAAATAATACCAGAAGAATTATATAAATTGTTCTTATTAACTAGATTGTTTAATAATAATAATAATAATAATAATAAAGGTAAGCATTATAGTGTATTGAAAAATAAACAAGATAATTCAGTAAATATTACTTGAAGAGAGATTCCAAATCCCATCACCAATCCCATTTAGAGGCTCATTATAAAGACTACTCTTAACAAAATTATTATCCATTTGCACATAATAACTCGCACCATACTCATTAAATGTACTATTAATAAGTTTTATAGTAATGGTTTTCCCATCTGGACTGTTTATACAAAAATCCTTCATTGACGGTGAAACTTTTTGTCTAATGCTGTTATCAGAAGTTTTGTAAATGGTTAAATTTCCATATGTCAGATCGTTAGACAAAAAAACAGGAACAAAGAAAGTTATATTTAAACTTGTAGTAGATAAATCGACAGTTTTGTTAACAGGTGGGTCAAGTTGGTTTATCTGAAGATTACCGTAACCGTGATCTAAATAGATAAAAGTTATTAAAATTTTAAATATATATTAAATATTTAAGAAAAACAGATCTTATGTAATAATAGAAATACCACGATATTCTAAAACTTTAGGTAGTGGGATTTTAGTAAGAGACCAAGTTGAGTTTGTGTTGTATGTTGGGAGTAGAAAAGTATTATTATTTTTCATGATAATACTTTCACCAAATATATAATGATTAGTAGAAAAATTATTAATAGGAGCAGTTTGGTTTGACGATAATGTTGATACCAAAGGCGTTTGTATGTTATATTCATCATAGGCATAGATATATGCAGTGCCATTGACATCAAAATTATATAATATGTAGCCACCGAATGGCATCGAGTTCACAATCCAATTTACGTCACCAAATGTAGTGATATTAGGGAGATCGAGGTTGGATAATACTTTTAACACTGATCCAGACGTTAAGAAGTATATTCTTATAAATTCTTTTGTAATTTTATATTCTTTTGTGATATTATTTACTATGGCGTTATTGATCGAAAGTGTGCAAACTTGACCAACACCAACGGATACTATATCGCAAAAAATTGCATTAAAAGTTATATTATTGGTAAATGTATAGAGAAGAATCGTTCTATTTTGAAATGTATTATTATATGTTATGAAATTAGCGTATACTGAGCCACGTGTGAAGAATGAATTATTGACAGTTTCATTGGTAGAATTAGCATAGATTAAAGCATAGCCATCATCAATAGTGGCCATTGGCAAGATAAAAAAGCTTGTAAGGTTTCCACCTTTAATTTTTGCTTGTGGAAAACTAAATTTTTGCAGCATTAATAAATTTCCAGAATCATCACTATATAATTACAAAGAGAAATTATTATTGTAATTATTATAATAAATAATTTGAAAAAAAAACGTTGAGACAATGATAATGTTAAGATGATTAAATTACATTGAATATTGTTGCCATTCATACGAAAAAATATTACTTATTTCTGCTAAATTTAGTCTAAGAAATCCCAATTTCTTATTTACGTTCAATACAATTACACTTTGGCTATTCGGATCCCAATAATTATCTCTAACATACGACGGACCAAAAAAAGTTTTACTAAAAATATAGAATAAAATTAATAATCTTCAAAATAAATTAAATTTACAAGTCAATCACAGTCATACCTTAGAACATTGTTGTTCCAATCAATGACCATTCCCCAGTCTTCATAAGTTGTAGGATCAAATGAATTTGTACTATTCAAATAAGTTACTAGAATGAGCTGTTTTTGTAATGCATACATTTTAATAGGAACCAAGGCGCCAATTGTACAATAATTAATAGGATCTAATTTTAAGTAGGTATTGTTGAGATTAATCTCGTTAACAGTTCCATTTAATTGAATAACTCTTATACGTAATATCTGCTCTAATCCAAAAGAATTACTTGTGTTAAAATAACTTCGACAATTCGCGTTTAATGTATCTATCTGTGTAACGAGGGCGATGATTGTTCCATCATCATAAGTTTTGAGCTTTAATACAAAAGGTCGAGTATCATATGTTAAATCTGGTTCTGTATAGTTAAAGGAAGTAATTTGTGATTTCGTCGATGCTATAAGAGCATAAAGGGACATTAAAAATAGGCATTGTGGTATAATGCTATAAAAAAAACCAAATAATTTCATCATGCTTTATTATTTAGAACTTTTGCGTATCATACAAAGAACATTAAATGTTATAAAAATGAAAGTACCTTTGTGCCATTTTTATGATTTATTATTCAGAGGTAGGGTTGAGGGCATGAGGTTGAGAGGCATGCCCCTATCATGTGATTTAGAACTATTATATGATTGGTTAATTTGGTAATTAACCAATCAGAACTAAAACTTATTATTGTTAATTACTATAATATATAATTTATATATCTATAGGGCATGCCCCAAAAATTTGCCCTGCCCCAACCCTATTCAGAGGCAATAGTATTTACTAGTACATACCATAAATGGTTGGATCTTTCCTTTAATTATTGTAAAGTTATCAAGTAGCTCTAAATTATACCTGACACAGTAAAACTAGAAACTCAAAATATAAGCACTACACCCTATACTCAGTTTTAAAAATTCGTTATGCGTAGCGTATATTTAAAATAAAATATTCTTTCTATATAAAAAAAAATTTTTTTGTACAGCATGTTTGCGCGGAATTTTTAACACTATCCCACCCTATTTTTCTAAATCAGATTATCGGGTATAATTTATGTAAAGATTTTATTTTTATTGTTATTTCTATTAATATGATAGAAAAAGGAGGTTTGCTTATTTTTGAGTTTTATGATATTTAAACTTTTATATTCACCTCAAAATATAAGGTCCTTAAAAAATGATCAATGTATTTACAAGGTTAAAAGCCTGCGTATTTGTTTATGTACCAAATTAGTACATACGTACGTACGTACATATATAGTACTCTATATGGACGAATTGGCGTACATTGGGCTCAGGACCAGTGTCTGAAATTCAATTTTCAAATTAGTTGCAGACTGCACTTCATAATTTGGTTGCGGGAATTTAAAGTTTTGTTGCGGTCCGCAGACTCCGCAATCCAATTTCAGACGCTGCTCAGGACCGCCAAAGATGGCGTTGAAACGAAAACTAACCGAAACTAGTTTCGGAAGGGTTCTAATCCGAAACTAGTTTCGGATTTTTTAAAAAAAATCGAAACTCCGAAACCCG